GTGATGCCATCATGTCAATATGGACCAAACTCCCTGAGGAATGCTTCCAGCACCTTGTTGAATCTATGCCATGAAGAATTGAGGCAGTTCTGAAGGCAAAAGGGGTTCCAACCCGTTACTAGCATGGGGTACCTAATAAAGTGGCTGGTGAGTGTACATTATTTGTTCTGCCTTTGGTCCCTCTTTTCTTATTCCTATTTCTTGTTGTTTTCCTCTCTATGTTTTCTTTTGTCCCTTTTTCTTTTCATATTAGAAATCAGAGGTGTCAAATATTTGTACTTCATTACTGTACTTAAGTACATTTTTTAGGTATCTATACTTTACTCCATTACTTTTTTTTTCTTCCTACTTCTTACTTGTACTCATTACATTTTCACACAACTGTCTGTACTTTCTATTCCATACATTTTTAAAACAAATGTTAATCGTTACTCTTGGCTTCGGTTTAATGCAGAGGTCATGGATTAGCGGACCGCGGTCCAGTGTTATGCCGAAAAGTGCATGTCTGCCGAGATATGCATCCCCCATACGGGTGTTGTGAACAACATTTAATCCAAAGATCTTGTCCGAGGTACGGCTGATTTATCGGTCGTAGTCTCTTGTTATTCACACACGACAATAAACAGTGATAGCCGACGTGATTTTTAAAATGTCATTTGCTAACCCTTGTCCTTTAACTACCGATGGATATACAGTAAAACAGTCATACAAGTGTCAACTTCTCTGGGATAGGATGGGATACAATTTTTGGCAATTTCTATTTTTTTTTTATTTCAAAAATTCAATGTATAACATCAATGCATAAATACCTAATTTTATTTCAGTGTTAATTCTGTGTAAATTAACAGATTATAATTAAAATGTCTCCGGACCTTTACTGGTTGAGGATATTCTTTCTTCGGACCCCACTGATCTTTTAATTGGTTACCCCTGGTTTAATGTTTATAAATATTTATCTCACATCATTTGCGCCATCCAATGCAGACATCTGGTGAAAACTAGTGTAATTGGATGAGTCATATAACGCAAACACTCATTGGTTAGCTAAAGGAAATCATCAGAAGCAACCAGGTGTTCTTCAAACTGCAAACGTGAATTGTCTATGCTATGCTACAATGTCAGATTCAGAAAAAGATGTTGAAATGTCTAAAAGGTCGGACACAGGTGAGAGCGTATCGGGAGATGGAGACGGAGACCACCACAAGACAAACTTTGCCCTATCTCAAAGAATTTTTTCAAAATAGTCGAAATACTGAGCTTTCAGTTCATATAGTGGCATCTGGCTGTTATTTTTTAAAGGTTACTTTATATTTTTATACGTTAAGTAGTTTTTGGAACAGTTACCTTTTCACTTTTAGTTGAGTAAAGAGGTCAAGTTGATAATTCAACTTTTACCAGAGTGTTTTTAAACTGCAGTATCTATACTTCTGCTTAAGTAACAAATGTGTGTACTTGTGACACCACTGTTGGAAATTAACTGTCTAAAAAGGGATGAAAGATTATTATTCTCACTTAGCTGATTGCTTCTTTCTATGTTTCCAACAAGGCAACAGCAAAAGCAATAAATATAAATAATTGCAACATTCAAAATTTAATATTATTATTACTATCATTTATTTTATTTTTAAACCAACAGGTTATTCTAGTGTATAAAGTCAGCGACTTTGATACAGTTGGAAAGATTTTTGTAGAAGTTTTGTAGAAGAAATGTTCCCCCAATGAGTTATTGATCCAAAAACAGCTGAATCTGCAGATATTTATCTAAAGTTTTAAAGCACCGCTTTTAAATTTCCCTTCAAACTAATGGTGGACAAGGTACTCAACTATAGTACTTGTATAAAAGTATTGATACTAATGGTAAAATCTTACTCAACTTGAAGAAAAAGTTGCTTGGTCAAAAATCAACTCAAGCTAAAGTACTGATGTTTGAAATATCCAAGTGTTCAAAAGTTAAAATTTTACTTTTCTAATTTTAGTACATTGTTGTATATTTTCTGCAGTAATTTTACCGAACCTAATAACTTTCAGAAACCACCTGCTGTATTGATGCGTAAAACAGGTCTGCTGCAAACTCTACAACACCCATTGCATCGCTCCAAAGAAGCGGCCAAGAACAGCTCGTCTTGACAATTTCACATAATATGCCACTTAAAACGCTAAAAACTAGCCATCAAACCCGCATCTATGATCGCCAACGCCTGCTGGAGCTACGGTCACAAAATGTTTTAATTACTGACATTTTGAACCGTTTAAAAAGTGCTACGGACGGATGTCAACATAACAACAGCGGAACATAACTGCCGAAGAAAGAGATGCACAAGGCGGAGAAAGCGAGGATGCAGAGGGAGGCTAACTGTAAAACTAAAGAGAAATCCTCACAGACCTCCGCTTCCATCAATCCTGCTCTCCAACATCCGCCCGCTGGAAATCAAAATGGATAATATCCGATTGGAACTCTCTTCAAAGAAGGAGATTAGTAACTGCTGCGCCATTATTCTGACAGAGTCATGGCAG